TTTTTAATAACGCTTAATAAAGGAGTTATTATTGAGTTAAGTCTGGCCAATCAGCGCCGATCTTTAGCCGGGCGCACGTCGGTGAGCTGCGCGCCTGGTAATATGCGGCAGCGCATACTTCACGGCGCGCAGCTCACCGACTTGCGCCCGGCTGAAGGTTGGCGTTGATTGACCAGACTTAACTCAATAATAACTCCTTTATTAAGCGTTATAAAAAAAAATGATAGAGGACTTTTCGACTCAGTTTGGTCCGCTCTATCTGCACACGAGTATTGTCCCAAATGATCTGGGACACCCTGTATATATAAATGTTAAATACATTTTTGCATAGATGAATAAATAAGTAAATATGATGAAAACATACATATTGAACAATTTGCCATATGTTGTCAAGATTATTATCGTGAATTACCTTCAAAAAGTTGTAGTCGTCGCTCGTTGTTAGAAACCTGGATAGCCAACTCTGCCCAGATCATATATTGCAAATTATGCGCTACATATTATGTCGACAGAATTCCAGCAGCAGCCGCGCATGATCTGTTCTCTCAGCTAATGCAGGAGAAAACAAACAATCTCTGCATAATGAGATGCTACAAAAATCTTATAAAATTTAAACAGCAATTCTTGCTAGAAAACAGTAGATTTTAAGTATTACGGGTTGGCACAATATGTTAACAAAAACTAAATAAACAAAGTAGAAACTTGCACATTGCTTCCTAATCATTTTATTTCGCTCACAAAGCTTAAGTTCCTTAAAGCAAGCGGGTTTTTTAATTTTGGCTTCCTCATAGAGGAAGATATCCCAAAATTTGCTAAAGTTAGGACATGTACAGATATTTCTCAAAGAATTCAAAATTTTATAAAAAATGAATTCTTTCACCAATTCTCACCAAATTCAATACCAACCATCCTTTAAATTTTATAAAAAATGAACCTTTTCATCGATCCTTACCAAATTCAATACCAACCATCCTTTAATAATATTCTATCCATGTAAAAAAATTTAACTAGATATCTCAAAAATTGCGGAAGTTAGAGATTGCACAAATACTGCGTACATACATACATACGTACATACATACATTTTTTAGGAATATGATTTTTCGACATTTTGGAACATTTTGAACACATCGGCATAAAAAACTCGAAAAAAAATTTTGTCACAAAAACAAAACTTCCTCTATGAGGAAGCAAAACCAGGGCTGGGAAGTGAGCATAACCAGGGTTGGGAAGTAACGCGTTACTTGTAACGCCGTTACCGTTACAGTTACTTTTTTTCGGTAACTGTAACGGTAACGGCGTTACAAATTTTGTTTGTAACGGAAAAAGTAACTTCGTTACATTTTTCGGTAACGAGTAACGACTTTAACAGTTACTTTTATTGTTACTTTTTTTGAATTTACTCGGTATAATTTTCATACAAAGGAAAATATTGATAAGAGTGTTGGAATGCAGCATTGCATGAAAACTACTGAAAACTCATTTTGGTATCTTGTTTCTTTGTAAGACAATGTTTAAAAATTTTTAGTGTTTAATTTGATCTTGTATTAAAAAAAATTGTATGTAAAGTTATTGTTATATATAAAAAAAACTAACGGAGATTGTAACGACTCGTTATTTTTTGAGTAACGAGTAACGGTAACGAGTTACTTTTTAGAAAAAAGAACGGTAACGGTAACGAGTTACTTTTATAAAGTAACTTTCCCAACCCTGAGGATAATATAACGTCATGCTACATCGTATCGGTAGAATATCTTCAGAAATCATTTGCAAGCATTGCATGACTATCAATGTTGCCAGATACTAGAAAAAAATTACAACTTTGAAATTTCGAGGGCAACTAATTGTAAGAGCCAGACGCGGATGGTAATGCGCGTCAGTTTCATAGAAAAAAATTTTTCTATGGAATTTATTAATGTGCACAGAGCACGAAATTTTCTTGGTCCTATACCAAGAGTAATTATATCTCAATTTGAGATTTATAATAACTCTTATTTACCCCCCTGAAAAAACGAAGGCGAGAAAAATATCGGGGCGAAATTAAAGGCAAGCAAAAGACTCGGGTTCGATTGCCGATCTGCAAGACCCGTTTGGCGGCGTGGAGGGGGCAAAATGGGCGGTTGGTCGGGCGAGATCTTATCAAATCGGACGAAAAGCGTGGTTGTTCTCTCCGTGAACGCAATATAGTACCAACTTAGAGAAAGAGTAATATATATGTCGTACTAGTTTGACAAATAGTAGTACAAACAGACTTATTAAATTTTTTTTTTAAGGCATGAGGTGTAGTTCCGAAAAGGATCTATCTCCGATTTCGATGAAACTATGTGAAAAGTTTCCTTTCAGATTAAAATGGAAGCCTCTAAAGGGAATTTTGGCGACTCCTATAAGAAAGTCATTTTTTAAGAGAAAGTAAAGAAGAAATTGCAATGAGTAACTACATATTTTATTTATATATGCATGCGCATAAGATAATCAATCAACTTATTGTTTTTTCATAAGAACGAATGACTGATTGGGTATCATATGGTTTTTTGTCGCGCGTCACGTTCTATCTGCATGAGCCATAAGGTTCTATTGAAAACCTATTATGCACGAATAGTAGTAAATAGTCGTACATCGTTGAATAATAGTACAAAATAGCGTACGACATCTCTTTCATGTTGTATGTAAGGAAAAATATGAAATAGTTGTATAAGTACGACTATAGTCGTACGTCTGGCAATACTGTGGTGGCTGCAAAAATGTGACAAAAATTGAGCATATGCTGCTGTCTCAAAAGATTTTTCTTTTGTTCGTCTTTTGCCCAATTTTTATATTTGCACGTGGCAAAAACTTGAATACGAGATAGATTGATTGATACGTCATACAGCGGAAAACAAAAGAACTATATAATCCAATATTGCTATATAAATTTTATATGATATTGATATATTTCTGCCTTTATTTCATGACAACAGACCATGCTGTGTTTCTGCTGTGTTTTTGATGTTATCTTTTGAAATAGCAGCGCATGCTCAATTTTTGCCGCATTTTTGCAGTCACGCTGTGCTTGCAGATGAGTTCGATTTCTGATGATATTCTGCCGATATAGCATGACGTCATGTTATGCTCAGTTTATAATAATACAGAATTCAATAAAAAATAAATTTTTCCAGCATTGTAGCAAATAATTTAAAAAACTTCGGTCAAGAGAAAGTAATAACACAATTAAAAAAAAATAAAAAAAAACACCGGAATGGGGCTAGTCGTTTATTATAGGTTTTTGCATGATGTAATAATACAGGTGTAACACTCCCGTAGATGCGCAGTCGTCCAAAGTAATTCGACCAATTAGGAATTAATCCCAAATGCTAAAAGGTAATATGGCTGTGAACATATGTTGACAAAATATGTAGATTAAATATACTACTCTATTTTATACTGCAAATTTAGTATTCTTGGTGTTTCCATAACATACTTTTACAAATTTTAATTACATTTTAATAATGTGATAATTCTGTATTTGAATTTTGTGAGTGCATTTGGGACCAACTTTTGATTGGCTATCCTATCATACTGCAGCCATTATGCGCAATGTTACACTTATATTATTACATCATGGGTTTTTGGACGCTGAACACGAATCCGGTTCTGAAATTACTCCATCACGTCAGAATTTTGAGAAATTTGCAATTAAAGTTGCAAAAAAAGGATTATTTTTACAAACTTTGTCATATTATAGCAACAATATGTGACATGCTGGAGAAGTTTTATTGCAATCAAAATAAAGTATATTGTTAGAACTTTCAACCCTCAAAAGGAATTTTTGTTGTCGGTTATGGTTAATAAGATATCCATGGTTAAATATGGGGTGTATTGCAGAAGTTAGCTGTGACGTAGGTCATTGACGATAAATAGCCTTCAATTATATTTATTTAAACTTAATAATTTTTTAGATCGCTGAATACGAATTTAATGTCAAAATTGTCAAATTCAAAATGGTGGACTCATTATGGCGGATGTCAAAATTTAAAAAATATTTAGATTGCAATCTAAACATTTGAGTCCACCATTTTGAATTGACAATTTTAACATTAGATTCGTATTCAGCGACCTAAAAAACTCTTAAGTTTAAATAATAATTGAAAGCTATTTGGTAAATTATCAATGACCTAAGTCATAGCTAACCTCTGCAATATACCCCATATTTAACTATGGATATCTTATTAACCATAATCGACACCAAAAATTCCTTTTGAGGGTTGAAAGTCCTAACAACATACTTTATTTTGATTGTAATAAAACTTCTCCAGCATGTCACATATTGTAGCTATAATATGACAAAGTTCGTGAAAATAGCCCTTTTTTACAATTTTAATTGCAAATTTCTCAAAATTCTGAAGTGATGGAGCAATTTCGAAACCGGATTCGTGCTCAGCATCCAAAAACCTATAAGAAACGACTAGTCCCGTTCCGGTGTTCGAAAAAAGTCATTTTTTGTTGAATGGTGTAATTAATCCGGCTTGTGGTAATTGTATTATCCACTTTACTGTAATACATTTAACGAATTAATTATTTGTTAAATTTGCAAAAGTGAAATGAGATTTAATGAAAACAATAATCATGAATTATAGACCGCAAACTTGTAGTACAATATACAAGTACAGTATATTTGCAGCTCGAAATACATTAAAATAATTTAAAAATTGTTGGTTTTTTGTAGCTTCTATTTTTAGACACGCGTATTATATAAATATATAAATATTTATGGCATTGGAAATAATTGTCGGCTTCAAGAATCAACGTCATATCGCTGTCGTTGTTTCAACTTTTTTAAAAATGTAAAAATACATTCGTTCAGATAAGTTGGAAATTCATCACAAAAAATCAAATACAAAAATCCATTTTGTTTATAACGGCTTTTTTAAATTGACGTGTATGATATGTATTTCAAGAATAAATCAATTAATTAAAGTTTTTATACAATATTAATTAAAGTTCTTTTATAGAGTTTTTATTTTATTAATTAAAGTTTTCTTCAAGATATATTTTTGCTTAAAGTTAAAAAAATTTAATATTAAAAGAAAGTACTTTTTATTATATATAGTTGAAGACAAGATTCTCAGAAAAAAACTTTGAAATTTGAATTTAAAAGCGTTACTGTTTTAGGCTTTTAAGAAAGATTTTAAGGGAGAGAGGGAGGGAGGGACAGAGAGAGGGGTAGGTGAAGATAATAGACCGTAATAAAAAATAAGATATCTCTCAATTTGTATTATAATTTCATCCCTTTTTGTGATAGCATAACAAATTATTTCTCTTAAAAATTTTTAATATTGATTTATTCTATACAGAATTATTGGTATAGTCTAATTAAGAAATTAATTATTTTTGCTCACATAAATATTGTATCGAATGTTTCAGAACCGAGTTCACGCGATCCCATGGTAGAATCCACTAGCAGCGGTAGCAGTAGTGATACAAACGAACCCGTTTGCGCACAATTGTTAACACAATTGAATACTGCCTACCAGCATCTTGCACCGGATGCTCAAGCTTTAGTAAGTATTACAAAAGTAGATCTACTTTTTCAAGGTTGTCAGTTTATAGATAAAAAAATAGAATTATTTCGAAAAAAAAAATTTATTTAGACAAGAATGTGTATGTCCTGATTGACTAAAACGACTATCGTTGATTTTACATAAGGATTAATGAGGATAACTAAAACTATATATTACTATCTGAAAACCAGATAGTTTTATCTCAATTTCTTTAATTTTAATAAATAAATTTAAAATGTATATACAGAGTGTCCCATAATAACTGTATCACCTCTCGTATGCAGGTAGAGCAGATGAATCCGAGAAGAAAAGTCCTTTACCATTTTGCGATTTTCGTAATAATTATTGAGAAATTAATTAAAAAAGATCAACTAATTCGCGTGACTATAAGCGCGCAATAAAAAAGGACAACCCATTGATGTGTGGTTGCTAGAACGCGAGAATCCATCGTTATGTGCTCGTACGTAACAGTTGTTATTTGTAGAGCGATCCTCCCAAAACTTCGTCGCGCGTTTAGCGATCGCAAACTTTTAGGTTAGGTCTGGGACGTCATACTGGTTGTGAATGAAGAGGTTATCTCTGGGCCGTCCTTCTCGGCGCGCGCTTGTGTAAGGCGCGGATTGGCCCATCTTTTTTAATTAATTTCTCAATAATTATTACGAAAATCGCAAAATGGTAAAGCACTTTCCTTCTCAGTTTTACCTGCTCTACCTGCACACGAGAGGTGATATGGTTATTATAAGAGACCCTGTATATATTATTAATGTTTCAATTTCCAGAAATAAATTTAAAAAATACAATTAAATAAAAATATTATTATCTGTATTTTCAATATATTTTTTTGTATATAATTATCCACTTTATCGGTTGTAGCGACACATTATCTTATCTTATTTATCAGTCATCTTATGCCTGTTGTGCTTAACATATTGAATGTTTATTGCAAGATTCACGAATTCCGTCTTTGTTACTCGCAAAAGCGAAGAATATCAATATTTTTTTCATGCATTACATCAGTTACACTCGCCTGGCACGGATGACGAATATTTTGTCAAATGCATCACTCAAGAACGATGCTGCGTTGTTATTGCATTTACAAAGCTACAATCGCAATATGTTTCTTCATATCCAGTTAAGTCGTTATCTTAAACATCGATTTATCATTTCAGTTGTTTATATGCATATAATCCTAATATAAATAAAATATGACTAGGGTGACCATGTGAAACTAGGCTAACAATTAGAGAGAGTCGAATGCGTTGCAGATAAAACTACAAAGCACATTTAACTCTTATTCTGTTAATATTATTTACTCTGTTAATATTATTTTTAAATAAATTATGATAAAATCAGGAGTAACAAAGTTGTTTTATTTCGAGTATATATAGTCTGGAACAATAAAACTTAAATTTTTAATAAAGCTAAGTGGTATGTATAAAATGAGATACATAATACTTAATTTCTTATTCACGGATTGTAAATATAAAAAATCGAGATAAAAATCGAAAGAAATCTGCAAAGAATTTGAGGATTGCTTATAAAAAAAAAAAAACATGTTTTAAAGAATTTGGACTTCTGGTCACTCTAGGAATGACACTTCATCATTGCGTCGTCACACGCTTAGAACAGATGCAGATATGTTTGCAGATGCCGCCCTCTATTTTTGCCTTTCTCCCACGATTTTCATTTATATACCCTGCTGTCTTGCATTGCGATTGTAATGAATCCGATAAACAGGCAAGAGGTTTCCGATTTCTCCAACGGTTTCATAGATGTGTATACTAATTCATCGCTTGCTGCTTGCTAACATCGCCATATGTACTCATACTGTAACTGTTTAGTTTTACAACCAGGAGAACGGTGGTAAGCCACCGCTCGTTGGGATTCAATTGGTGGTGCCGAAGCCGCCCAAAGACTATCGCTTTATGAAATGGAATTGGTCGCTGATACGGAAGACGTGCTACTGGACACTGATGTCGATATTGATCGGATGCGCTGCCCTCGTTGTTGGTATTATTGCTACAATGCCTAAGAAGTATGTGTCGATACGTTATATGTTTAAAAATCTATATAGACTATATGTGTCTAAACATCTTTAATTATTTTACCTAAAAATCATATTAGTATTTAGATTTATTTTCTGAAATTCTACATGATTCATGTGTCCATTGTTTATATAACACACACTTTATCATATCCTCCTTTATGCATTCCCAAGACAAGCTACAAAATAATTCTTCTTTATTGATTTCAATAATAATAAGAATGCTAAGAAAAATTTAAGTTTTTAAAGTCTTTTGATCTAAAAAGTAATTTTCTTTTTTTTTGTTTATTTTTTTGTGTTACTTTTTTTTAGTGCATTTTTTGATACAAGCTACAAAATGATTCGTCTTTATTGATTTCAAAGTTGTGCATAAATGATAAGAAAAGTGTAATTTTTTAAAGATTTTTTATTCAAGAGACAATTTTTTTCTCTTGTTTTCTTTATTTTGTGCTGCTCATTTTCAGTATTGTAAAAAAATAAAATTAAAATCTTATAATTATATCATACAATTATATCATATCGGTTTATACAGTTTGAGCAACAGCATAGTAATGCGATGTCGGAAATTTCGCAATTTCTAATATTTTAGTGTCCTTAATCTACACGCATGAACTATACCTGACAAATTAAAGTAATTGTGATATTAAATACTTCTTAAAAGTACATATTATTGCTACAAATCAATAAGGTTTGGAGGGGGCCACATGATAAAAATATGGATTTGACCTTAAGTGGTCTTTTCAAGGTGAGATCAATGTTTGGTCTGAGGTGATCGACGTTTTCTTAAATGGGACCCCCCTTTTTTATTACATATTCTTGTAGCTTATCTCGAGAGCTTTTCAAAACACTATAATAAAGTATTTTTTCATTAAGTACTTTTTGAGTTATTTTATATCTTAATCTGACATATTTTGATATAAAAAATAAAATATCTCGTAAAATATTTAGTTTTCGATAATCTTACCGTAATACTTTTATGTACAGAATAATAAGACAAATCAATTGGTATAAATATATAATCTTTTATATCAAAATATGTCAGATTAAGATATAAAATAACTCAAAAAGTACTTAATGAAAAAATACTTTATTATAGTGTTTTGAAAAGCTCTCAAAGTAAACTACAAGAATATGCAATAAAAATGGGGGTTTCCATTTAAAAAACGGAAGTTGTCCTTCAAATGACCTTGAAAATGACCTTTAATGTCAAATCCAAGGTCACTATTAGATAGCCCCCTTTGTTCCCTACAACTTTTATCCGAGTCGTTTTCCTTCAAACGTTGATCCTGAAAAGTTATGAGGGTGGAACTTTTAAAATGGGACACCCTGTATA